GGAAGTAGTTATGTTAGTGGAGGAAGTTAGTGATGGAGTGCTGTAAATTATCAAAGATATGTTTTAAAAAGTCTGCCTTACTGGAGGAAGCCTCCTTAAATTAGTGATGGAGTGGTTTATGTCTTGGGGCAGCTTTCCAAAGACATTAGTGTAGGTTTCCATTATGTTCCAGTAAACAGAAGATTCCTTTGAGCACTTTGAAGGTATCTGATTCGAGTAAATGTCACTAAGATAGTATCAGATTAGGTTCTGTGTGCAAGAACATATTTTCGTATAAAATTGGCACAGGCTTCAACCATGTACATCATGATGTAAAACCCGAGGTACCTTTGGAGTTCGTTGATTTGCCTAAAACCTAAATGCCCAAAAGTATCTTCACAGAGCTTGTATTTCTCGTATATGTTTGTTCCATCTGTTGGAATGACTAGAAGTTCCATATTTTATCAGATAAGCAAAATCATCAATGGTTCTTGATTTGCACTATTACAAACACCTGAATTTGATATCTAACCACCCTGTCTCAAAATATATCATTAGACCTTTGATACGTCTAGTTCAGAGTTTGTTCTTACTGACAGTGACCCTCTAGGAATTCAGACAGATAAGAGTCTTTCCTAATACCTCAGATCCTTTAATTTAAGAGACTAGGGGTCTGAACCTTGGACTGAAATGATGCAAAGCATATGATCTGTCTGAGCTATGATCCCTTGTGTTTTGTACTGCTTAGGTTTGGGGATGGGCAAGCAGCTTTCTGTTTGCCTTCTTGTCAGGGCTAGGTGACTGAAAAGCTGTTAATTTCTGAAATCTCACATAATTGTGCTTTGGGAGTCCCTATTATTTAATCTATACCTGCAACATCTTGTGGGCCCCAAACTTGTTTTTAGTAATAGAAAAGTGGGTAGGGCCATACTGATCGCTACAGCTGCAAAACAGGACCATGCACAGACATGAGAGGTTTCAGCATACAAAAATCAGGAAGAAGAAAAATGCACATGCATGTTGCTATGGTTTATGGGGAAGAGGGTAGGTTTAAGCCCTTACTTTGCTTCTGTTTTTATTGCAGGTCCTTCTTGTTATGTTTGTTTTTACTACAGTTTCATTGTTTGGAAGGTATAGCTTCCATCCACTGTTTTAAACATCATAGTAAATGTGGGTGCTCCCTCCATATAGGAAAGAAATGTCATGAGAAACAGTCTACTCTTGATGGGCTTTTTTGAGCAATTTTTAAAGTTTAATAGTAGGCAAAAGCATTCCATGTTTCAAGTATACAGAACCCAATGTTGTGGGTGTTCCAGACAAATAGGATTTGAAAAAATTTCCAAAACATTTTCTGATGCCCTAAATTGGTGATCTGATTTAGCTTATTTGTTTTGACATATTTAATAAACAAAAAAATTAAAAGTACCCATATTAATCTCATGCTCTAATAACAATGAATACTTGAACTGTGATTTAAATGTTACATTCAGACCAATTCTAAGCTCTATGTGGAAAATATTTTTATTGGAGTAATATAATTTTTTTCAGACAATAAATACACATGTATTTCCCTTACCTTGTTGAAAATTCAGTTTAAAAACCAGATGAACTGAAAACCATTGAAACACTAATTTTAGCATATCCAAGGATCTCTGCAATTTATCATTCACCTATTTAAACAGAATTTAACTCTTTTCCATGGAGATCATTGGATCAACTCAGTTTCACTGTCACTCTCACTGGCATTACTTGCATTACTTGTTTGTCCTATGTGGGATTAGTGTTACAGTGCCCCTTCCATCATGAGAATACTCATGTGAACAAGAATTTACTTGAATAGGTCTAAGATGATGTGATGTCCTTGCTTATTGGGGAGACCGTTTTATTCCAAATCTCTCTTTTTGGTAGTATGACCTAGGGTCTGGGCACTCCAGAGGACTATGTGGCCCTGAGGAAGTACTGTACTGATTTCTGGGATAAGTTTAGGCAAAAATTGATTTATTTAATAAAGAACAAAATAGGTTTCTGGTTATTTTGAAGAGGTGCTGAAGAAAGGAACTTGTAAATATAACTGGCAAAGTTTGGTGCTACAAACAGTCTTTCAAACTCCTCTCTGACAGGCTTATACATTCAGTATAATCTCTCTCTATCTCATATATATATATAGATATAGCCACGCAGGCTAGTCTCTTTGTTTTATTCACACAGAATGGAATCAACTCTCTTAGTCACACAGACTAAATTGTTGGTCTTATTCACACAGAATTAGACTCAAAATCCCATAGTCATACAGACTATGCTTACTTTTCAAACTTCACATACAGAATCCTTCATAACTCTCAGAGTCACACAGAATCTCTTCAAAACTCTTCCATACTTGTCTCATATCACAGAATCTCCTCATAGACACACACAGAATCCTCTCAGACATCCCTCCTCCCACACTCTCAGTCAGCAACCAATCAAATCGCACTTGCCACCCTCTATCACTCTTCTTAAATTACTGCAGTCAAATTAAACATTTAAAGGAACGCACATACCAAACATGGAGTCATTACAGATGAATTCATATACTTTTTTATTAAGACAATTTCATCTCTTTTCCCCCATTTACAAATCATTAAAACATACATGTACTCTCACACAGTTTTTAGGATTAATAATGTGAAAAAACATTAATTATAAGTTTGGAATTTGCCCAGTCATTTTTGTTAATTTTACAAAACAATAATTTTTAGATGAAGATGGGTAGCCCTGTTAGTCTGTCTGTGACAGTAGAAAAAAGTAAGAGTCCAATAGCACCTTAAAGACTAACAAAGTTTGTGGTAGGGTATGAGCTTTTGTGACTCACAAAAGCTCATACCCTACAATAAATTTTTAGAAATTGAAAATTTTCTGTAGAAAAATTAAGCACTAGGAAAATTTCCAACTTGCATCACTGACCTTACCACTAAATCATTTTGTTAATGGACAGCTTTCCCCTCTATTCTGCCTGCTAAATGAGTACTATTAATGTGGGGGGGGGGATAGCTATTAAAATAAAAACCAATTAGGAGAGCGTTGCTTTTGTTTAATCGTAGTGATTTTCATGGTGTGATTTTTCAGCTTTAAAAAAACCACCCGGCTAACCGTTTCCCAGACAAGGAATTGCATATCTCCTATTCTTCTACTAGTGGGTCTCAGGGAGGTCTGACTAAAGTAGTAGCCCAAATTTAAAACAAACAGAAAGAGGTAGTTAGCTTTGAAAAAGGTCATTATTCATCTTTGGAACTTCTTACTAAGCATTTATTTGTACAGAAAAATCAATTGACTAAAGTCATCTGGGTATATGTCTACTGAGGTGGAAAGAAGAAAGCAACCCTGACTTGGTTGCTTTTATATCTAGTGACCATACATTTAAGGACAAAGTATACAAGAAAATTAAAATACTCTTTTACTTGTTACTGCATGTCCACATTTCATGTTGTCCATTCTCTTACAGAGTCCATTCTTATTTAGGACTATTGCTGAATGGCATTGTTAGCATGTTGATAACCCTATGATCAAAGACTGATTCATCCACACTCTTGTCTTTAGCACATAAAGGTAAAGGTTCCCTTCCTCGAAAGCCAGTCGAGTCTGACTCTAGGGTTGTGGTGCTCATCTCCGTTTCAAAGCCGAAGAGCCAGCGCTGTCCGAAGACATTTCCGTGGTTATGTGGCCTGCATGACTAAACACCAAGGCACACGGAACGCTGTTACCTTCCCACCGAAGTGGTACCTATTTATCTACTTGCAATTTCTTGCTTTCCAACTGCTAGGTTGGCAGGAGACATAGACTGCTGTTAATGGGGCTAGTAGCTGAGTTCCCAAGAGGCACAGCATTGACATCAGATCTGTTGGCAGGCTTGGTCCCTGCTCTGTTGAATGATCTGCTGTTTCCTGTTGGGAGAGTTTGTCTGAGCACAGGTGGGTTTTTTTTTACAGAGCGCTTGTTTAAAATAAATTTAACAATCAGTTATCTATAGCTTATGACAATACTTGCCATTTGTTGTTCACCTGAGGTAAGTAGTACTTTCCCCATTCAAGCACTCCAGTTGCTAACTTTGCAGGGCATGCTTGTGTGCTTATTCTCTGAAATCTGCACATGCAGACTGCATAGGAAAGATTGAGTGGCATCCCTTAAGTTCCTGCTTCCTCTTAAAGCAGAGCACTTTTTAATTTTTTTCTGTATTCATAATTACAGTTCAGAGTCTTAAACCAAATAAATTTACACAATCTAAAAAAGCAACAGACAGATAAAGAAGGCAGAAGGGCACTGAGCTATGTGCCTAGCTTTCTATGGGTAGTAAGAGCACTTTGTGAAACTGGTCTTTGTCATTGTGACTATGCCCCTTGCTCTTTACAGTTCTTTACCCTCCAGCCAGCCATGTGTCATGAATAGGTAATGGTATTTGTTCAAGCCTGTTTTGGGACTCAGCAGACATTTGAACTTACACAAAACTTCTACAGACTTAGCACTGTGGTTGACTGCACTTTTCTGATCTCATTCCTTGTTTTAAAAAATGGCTTCTCACACTTGCTGTATTATTCAGATGCAATGTACTAACCTTCAGTTCTAAGCTTTTTATATAATCATGAGGTATATAGAAATTATAGACATTATGTTTGTTAAATATTTATTTATTTAGGGAATTTTTATGCCACCTTTTCAGGGGAACCTTTCCAAGGTGGCTTACAAAATAGCATAATAAAACATAACATTAAAATTGATGAATTAAACCCCAGGATTAAAAAAACAAGTCACTAACAACTTAAAATAAATTTAAGAGCACACTATAAAACTTTTAAAAGATCAACCCCTGAATTAAAATATTGGCTGAACAAATATGCTTCGTTTTGTTATCTAAGAGAAAGCAATGTGAGTGTAAAGCATGTCATGCTATAACATGATAACTATTAATCAAGAAGTATAAACAAGTGATTGAGTGTTTTCTGGTTTCACACTAATGAGAATGGGCTGCTTATTGTGTTACAGGAACTTACAGTGGACAAAAATAAACATGGATAAAGGTAAGCTTTTGTGTATATTTTCTAGGTTTTTGTTTACTTATGTCCAGCACAACTTGTTTTGTGCATTTCCTCCCTCCTTCCTATGCCCATATTCCCTGTAGATATGTTATCAGTTAAATTTTTGTATTCCGCCCAAAGTCTTCATTGCTGTGCTTGACTTGACACAGATATGGTCCTGTAAATTACTTAAGGGACAAAAGGTCAAGTGTATTTACAAATTCAAGTGGGTGTGTATATAAATTAGTGGCCTAGTAATCCATACGCAGAAGACTTGGTGGTGCGGAAAGAAGAGTCAGTCATCACAGAGTGAGGCTAAGATTTTTGAACACTTGGACACTGATGAATGGGCCATATATATTTTGCAGTACAAATTGTTTTGTGTTGTGATATCATATTAGTAAGAGCCAATTTTAATTCACCTCATTATACTTCAAGAAGACCTAAAACAAATTATACCCACCACCGAAATAGACACAGGTTTGTACTTTTTAAAAAGTGCTGACTTTTTGATTAATTTTTAGAATGCCTGCTGCTGAAAGAGGTGTCCCTAAAATAAAAATCACCAAAAATATTTACCATTTACAAAAACACATTTGCCAGTAGCTGCATTTTTGTGTACAAGTTAGACTACTGAAGATTTGTTTCAAAATGCTGACTTCTGATTTGTCTACAAGTGCCATAAATAATATCATCCTTTTTTCTGCTGTAGTTGGAAACAAAACATCCATCTAAAAAGTATATGTGTAAGGTTTTATGCATTTAATTTGGCATTCAAAACTTAGATTGATGGTGGAATTAGTATCCAAAATATCTTGAGTGTTCTGCTTAATACTGTTCCAGTGCTGTCATTACCTGCCCTTTGTGATAGAGACGTGTTTAAAATTGTTTTAAAATGTTTTTAATATATATCTTTTAAAAACTCTTAATTATGAATAGAAACTTACAAACTTACGTAACCAATTAGTATGCTCCTATCCCAGAAACGTACCTGTGTTAACCTACAATTTTAGAAATGTAAATAACAATTTAAAGTACTTTCAAATACTTCTCCCCCCCCCCTTTTTTTTTCTACAGTCTTCCTCACAGATGCTAAAGCAAACTCTGTATTAAAAAGATATCCACGGGCAAATGTATTTTTGGAAGAACTTAAGCAAGGAAACATTGAACGTGAATGCGTGGAAGAACGCTGTGACTATGAAGAGGCAAGAGAAGCTTTCGAAAATGATGAGAAAACTGTAAGTTCGTCTGAACTGGTACAGGAAGCAAATCTAGTAGTTTAGATTGTATTCAAGTGTCGGAATTAAGTATTCACATATTGTGTTACTTTGCAAAAGAAAAGTAATTTTTTTTTAAAGAACTGGAGGACTATAGTAGTTTACAGAGTCTTGTATGTAGACAGGCATTTCTGTGAGCTGGCTCCTCATATTGTGTTACTTTGCAAAAGAAAAGTAATTTTTTTTTAAAGAACTGGAGGACTATAGTAGTTTACAGAGTCTTGTATGTAGACAGGCATTTCTGTGAGCTGGCTCCTCATATTGTGTTACTTTGCAAAAGAAAAGTAATTTTTTTAAAAGAACTGGAGGACTGTAGTAGTTTACAGAGTCTTGTATGTAGACAGGCATTTCTGAGAGCTGGCTCCTCTGTGAAAGACTCCCTTTGGAGTCAGTCCAGAACTATCAGATTTACAGGAAGTTAGTCGGGGGCTGAATTCTGTGGTTCTGCATGCAAGTGCATCCGATTAACTTGTTACGTCAAAACCCACAACCATTAATAAAGAAGAAGCTTTGTGGCTCAGAGCTGTGAGGTAGTGAGTGAAACATCATTTACAAGGGTAAAGGGTGAAAAAACCAAAATGGTAACAGCATTGTGACATGGACAATTTTAAACATGTGTTAATGGAAATTGAAGTTTCACTGTTAAATACACAGGCCAGTAAATATGCTTAAGACTGTCCTTCAAAGTGCATTCCACATTAAATAACTGTTTGATGGAATTACTAAGGAATTTTCTTTAGACAATGTCACTAGCAGTATGAACCTATATAGCTCATGTTACAGAAACAAAATTAACACGTTTAGGTTCTATATAGTAAAGTAACATATAGATTAGATTTCATTTACTGTCTCAAGGATACTATTGTATTCTATAGCTGGCTGCAGAATATATATTCACTTGTCCGTGTTGTTACCATGTGTGGTTGGAAAACACATCTGTACTAGATATGCGTCTATGTGAATAATGCCTGCTACTTAGTTAGGTATTTTGCTTTGAACTAACCAAGCATGGGAAAGAAGCCCCTTTTTTGTCCTTCTCACACTTCTGTCCTGAAGGAGCTGGAGATTTAGGTTTTAATACCTGCTGTAAGGGAAGGGGGACAAGAGAGACCACGTAGGTACTCACTTCTAAGGGATTCTTGAAAACAGAGGTGAAATTTAACTGCGATAATAAGAGAATCTGATTGCTTTTAGAAGTGATAAAAGCCTCTGATGGTAGTCCAAGTCAAAATATGTTGTCAGAAGCCTTTTCTAAGAATTCGTGCTCATACCTGTAGCAAGTTAATTTTTTTATGCTACTTGCTGTAAAATCCACTTTTGTTCATTTAACTTGAGGGGGGAAATACTCTCAATCATTTTCTTTGCTCTGGCTTGTTTTTAGAGGGAATTCTGGAAAAGTTATACAAGAGGAATCCATGGAGAAATTAACACTGGGTATAACTGGTATCCATTTTACCTTGTTTTTCCATTAATCATTGGCCTTCTCATTATTCTCATCATCATCTTTGTCACATGGAGATGCCTCCTCAAAAAGAAAATGCGGAGACGATCCATGTATGCACATGGCAGTACCAGGGAAGCCACAGGTGACAGAACTGTTACTGATGGGAGAAGTCCTCTTCCTCTGCCACTCAGCATTCTTCATTCCCCTCAGGAAGACATGTTTGAAGGCAATGGACATTCTCCAGGATATCTGAGCTACGCAGATGGACGTTCAGATTCTGTGTCAACGAGGCTGTCAAATTGTGACCCACCTCCATCATATGAAGAAGTTGCTGGTGAAAATGGAATGAGAAGAAATGAAACTACAAATCAAATGGATCCACCCCCACAGTATGAGGACATAGTGAATGCTAGTTTGGTTAATGGCACTTCAGTACCTTCTGTTGCCACTGGTATCAAATGAAATAGGAAAAACACGAGTAACTCCTTTATTAAAGAGGGGGGAAATCCTATTTTTCCCAGCACTTTATTTCAGCTTAATGTTTGAAAGTCTACTAATTTTTTACCACTTCCTCCTCTACTCCAATATTGGTTTGTTCTGTGGCACTTCCATCCCAACAGGATTTGCAGGGAGGGAGACAAAGCAATAATTGGCATACTTCCCAAGATGCCAGTTCCATTGGCTGCTGTTGCTTTACATTATTGATTAAAGTGCTTTTATTACAAGCATAAAGGATTTCTAATGGCAAAGTTAGAAAAAGGGATTTACATACCCTCAAAAGATGCTTTTTATAATCTGAATTGTTCAGATGCCATCGCTCATTGCAAGTTGCACTAGGGGCTTTATGTTGAAATGCTTCAAAGTCTACAAGTACAGAAATGAGCACATTTATGGCCTAAATGTGAATCTTGCCACAGTATACCAAAGAGAGCCAGTTGCCATAAGTGCTGTTAAAAATCTTTGAAATAAAATACTCCCTGTTCTGGTGAGAAATGCAGTATTTTGATACCCATGCTTTGAAAGGGGAAGAAGTATGAAATGCATATTTGGATTTTAGAATGTGGAATCAAATATTGATTGACTGAAATTCTCAGTAAATATTATTATTGATGTCAGTGGAGTTAGAATTCTACCCATCCAGCAGAATAACAATGATAAGAACTATGTTTTGAGAGAGGGGAGAGAACCATATGTGATGAGACCAGGCCTGGACAATGGCTTCTCTGTGTTATTTTTTGTTAAAAACGAGTGATTATACAACTATCAGATGGTTTGCAGGGTGACTTTGTCCTCCTCTTGCCCACAAATCAATCACCATCGTTCCTACTTGTTTCCTCTCTGTGCCACCTAATGAGTGATATATAGAACTATACCTTATCTGCATTTGGCTGCATCTCAGTGACCAGCACTTTTTGTATTAATTTCGTGTGTTACAGTTTATGAAATGGCCTACTGTCCTCTGGTATAACATTCAGTTCTTTTTGAGGGGGTGGGTTTTGCTTCAGCAAGTGTTTTTTACAGCAGGCTATTCTGTGTTTGTGCATGCCAGGTTTTAAAAGCAGATCTGTGAAAGAACTTTAGAAGTAAATTTATTTCTAACAATTTTTATTGTTACCACAGCACAAATGGTTTGGGAGACAGGTTTGCTTCCAAGGTGATGCCAGAGTACTGAAAAGTGTTGCCTGTCTCTTTACTTTTATGCTTGATTTAAATGTGACACTAGGAGGCAATAAGAACTTATTTGATGCATATGTCCAGCGACATGATCTTTGGGAGTCTAGAGGAAGGGAGATACCAAAACAGTGCATGAAGGAAGAAGAGGTAGAAATTCCCTCTTTTCTTGCTAGTACTTACTTTTTCCCCTCTGTTCCTTGAGCTGTTTGGCTGCCAGATTAGACTAATTACCAAAGAGGAGTTTGCCAGTGTTTCCCAGACTTCTGACAGCTAAGACATAGCATCCCCCCATAACATTAGAGACACACCTAGAGCAATGAGTCACATAGAGAGACAGCTGGTAATTATCATGTATTTCTGCTCATAGTGTGGTTAGATTATTCATTCACTCTGATACAGCGGCACAGCAGAATTACCTGCCCTCAGTAAAGGCTAACTGGAAAAAGTCATGTTCAGAATTTTGTTTTATTTTCTCACTGCCTATTAATGGTTTTTCAAGTTATTTTCATTTGTCTCGGCACACTTTTGATGGCAGCAGGAAGGGTGTGTGTGATTGACCTGTGTTCACCTGTGTATATTCACTTAATTTGGATTTCATGCATTTCATATTATTTGGGGGGGGGGTGTCAGGGAATATGCTCAAATTAGTTTAGAAGCTTTTTATAAAAGTTCACTTCCAAGTACCAGTCTTAGTATCTTGAATGCTGCTGCACTGAAGCAATGTGGAAGGTGTAGGTTGTTCCTGGATACACCTGTTTCTGGAATGGTGTTATCACACAGCTGTATAGGTGTTGGTGGAAGGTAGTGGCAAGGGGACAGGTGTATGCTCTGTGAAGAGTAACTTTAGATTTCAGTTAAACATTGGGCAAGTTAGTTGTGTGAGTTCAAGTGGAAATGTTTTTGGGGTTTAATGAAGCTGCAGAAATATCTTTGTTTCTATGGAATGAGAATGTGTTCTGTTTAGCTGCCATGGTGTCTTGTGGACAATTACTATTTTTTGTGTTACCTAGGAGGATGCTGACAGTGAGTAGAGAATCAGGTGATAGTTATTCCAAATGTTGTGTTGGATCTGCATGGACTGTGGATCTTCCTTGTTTTCTTCCATCCCCAGACATTTCCAACCATGAGAAAGTTGACTGCTGAGTCACAGGACCCCTGTGGAGTAACAGGCATGTGGTTTGATGGGCTGCAGTGAGAAGGGGGAAGGAAGCAGAAGCACTCCTGCTGCTTCTGTCAACAGAATCAACTTGGTAGAAGGAAGCAGGGAAGATTTGTGATCATCAGTCACTTCCACTGATAGATCACCCCACTCCTTTCCTTGCTGGGGATTCTAATGTCTTTGTGTTGGTAGAATATGAATCATTTACTTTTTATGCTGTGCTGTCCAATGGTATTGGAGTGACCTGTCAATTTTGCTTCTCTTCAAAACCTGCCTGTCTTTCACAGCAAAAATATCTAAGGTAGTGATGGTATAACTTTCCATTTCTACTTCAGTTGCAAAATCTTAAGACAGTGCTGCTGGTTGTTTTAGTAAGTACACTAACATTTGTGAGTGAAGCATTTAATAGCTACTACACACATACCCCACGTGATATGATTTGCAAGCCGCTTACAAGCAGGTAGTGAAATGGGTGGAAATGTGTATACAGTTACATTTATCATCCATTTTGGCAACACGTATAATCTGTGTGTTCTCCAACAAGGCAATCAAGCAAAGTTAAGCTAAATTTAGCTCTTTTATACTTGGATGGAATTTGATAGAACTTTTATTAAACCTTCCAGTGCCAAAGGGCTAATTTAATATCTCATCTGTTAAAGATAAATGCAACAAAAGGGTACACAAGATACTTTGCACACGGGCAATGTGAATTTTCTATATGTTGTTGTTCTTAATGCACAACCAGAATCCATCCCTCCTCTGTCACAGTGCCTCCTATCTGATTTACAGAAAGCACTTGGGATGAGGCAAAGAAAAATCCACTATTCAGGTGTCCCAGAATATTCCCATGTTTTTGAGTAACGTGTAAATGCACCTTGGTGGCCCCTCCTGAAACAAAATCAGACACTGCTTTTGGCCACTGAAAGTGTTACATTGATATCCTTCACTACACGCATTACCTATTCTAGGCCATAATTAATTAATCAGTATTTCTGCACTAGGAATGTTATGTTGCAGATGACATGGTGCATAGCTTACTTTTTTTGAAGAGATGGCTGTGTGTTTACACTGATCATTCGCTGCACCTTCCTGAGCCCATGCTTCTTATCAAACAACACATACCAATATGACTTTCAATGGGCTAGCTGTAATAGTCTCATTTTTATAGAATATCTTAGTTTTTTCCATCCCTTATATACATTTGTTTTTTTTCAATAATTCCAATTTTATGAGCTATTAAATCTGAGGTTTTTTAATAGCTTTATTTTTGTGCTTTGTTGTTCTGGTTTGACTGAACGTTAATCCAACTCACAATGGACAATTTTATACAGAATTTTTCTCTCTTTTTTTTTAACCAAAATGTATTTAAATATTTTGACTGGAATTGTTTCCCTGCAGCAGGTAATATAATAAGTACCTTACCTTTGTGTTCTGAGATCCTGGAAGATATTATTGTGTTTGGCTGATAAGGTAAAAGTAAAAGGCGAAGTTAAAAGTTAAACATTAAAAAGTAAAAACGATTCTCTGCATAGAATATCACAGCCATGATCTTGTGAAGTTCTAAATGCTTGTATCTTACTCAAGACCAATGAGGATATGGATGCCATTACTTTGTGGTGACAGTTGTCATGGGAGTCAGAGTCTTTGGTGCATGTAAATAATCTGTTTTATTTCAGTATTAAATATTTTTAAATATGGTTTACATTTAGATTGGTATTTTAACATCCTTACATTGTAGAAAGTTTGAGGAATTTTGATATGCTAAATAAATCTATTTTTTAAACATGTGGTGTCTCATAATAATATTTGGCTCTAGGCCAGAATGCAGGGGTTCTTTTGCAAAGCCTTGATTTACACCATTGTCCATAACCAAGGCTTATGACAAGTTTGATTTATCAATATTATACAATTAATAAAAATACAAAGATCTGTCAAAACTTTGTATTGTGTTATGTCATCATCAAGTTTATTGTATTAGCCATTGGCCATAACAAAACATAACAATCCTTATACATCACATTAAGTTATCCCTTCACTAACTTGCGCTGAATCCTAGCCTTAATCTTATCTTTTTTGCCGCCAAAGCAAACAGGGACATTCTGCTGGTAACATATACATCCATATCAGAGAGCAAAAAAACAACCAACTCCTGTTTTGAGAATCCATTGTGCAAAGGTAAAATAGGGTATATAAATCTCTGCCTAAGTGATTCGTGCCATGAGCATCTCAGTAAATAGTGCTCAATATCATCCACTTCGCCCAAACCACATTGACAGATTCTTAAGGCTACAGGTAAACCCATAAAACGACCAACACAGACCATTGAAGGAATGGCATGGAATCTGAGGGCTGTAAATGCCCTTCTTAGGTCAAGATTGGTTAGTTTCTCTAAATAGCCAGTCCTACAGTGATCTCTTTTAAAGATCTTAAACAGAGGGGCCGTTCGGCAACTTGCTGCTGCATGAAGGTTCAAAAGGCCGTCCTTATGAAATACCCATTCCTTCAATTTGGACTTTTGATTATCATTATCCGCTAAACCCATTAGGTCATCTGGAATTGAGTATTCCTGTAGGATAGAAGACAGATAGTCATTTAAACTTTTGGAAGATTTCAACAATAATCCAAAACTTTGGACCCCTAGGATATCCTGGGGTCGTTCCTGACATTTCCTCCAGTAGGAAAGAATTCTTACATTTGCCCTGGCTTTCAGCGATGCCATACCCAATTCTATCCTCATCAGCACCACAGGTGAACCGTTAGGCAAAACCAAAATCCGTCTCATGAAATAATTTTGCACAGTTTCAATCAGGGTTAGCATCAACTCATTCCAACCCCAAATCTCTACCCCATACAACATCTCACGCATAGGCAGCCACACAGGCTAACCTCTTGGTAATTTTAACTTCCTTCCAGATCTTTAGAGTCTCACTTTTGAAGACATATATACTGCGTTCTAAATTCTTTATTTTCCACAGAAACACTGTCAGCTCACTCACTGACTATTGACTCCAACTCAAAACTCCGCTTTCTCTAACTGACTTCCATAACTGACTTTTCTATAACTCACTGACACTCCACACAGATCCACTTCAAGAACTCCTCCCACACCCTCTCATCCTCCAATCACCCCACACCTGTCTCCCTCAAGCACTCTACGCTGCAGTCACTGCACTGCAACCAAACATTTAAAGAGACACACACACTCTTAAAACAAAGAATCATTACAGAGCTCAACACCTCTGGCTCAGAGGGAGCATTGCCCCCCCACCCAATCTTGGTAACAGATAAAAGGACCATATCGTCCGCATATAAAAGAATTGGCACTTTAAGTTGTCCAATAGTTGGAGGCATAAATTCACTACCTTCCACGCTGGCAATTAAATCGTTCAGATAAAGGTTGAACAAGGTGGGTGCAAGCACGCAACCCTCTTTCACCCCCTTCTGAACTGGGATGTCTTCCGTAAGCCGACCCTTCCAACCTTAACCTTGACAGAGGTGTGTATTGTGTTATGTCGTTAAACAGCTTTTCTAAATGAAATAATTTAATATACTTTTTCTGTTACACAGTAATCCTTGTATAAATTGAAAATACTGAAATCATCATTCCTCAAAATATAGCACTTCCAATTAGAGGGTTTTTAAAAAAAAAAATAGCACTTTAAATTTGCAAAACATAAGAATGTCGTGCTTGTTTTATTTTGTATTCAGTATATGGATTGTTTTCAGTATCTGCATAGCTTTCTAAAGTAGTCACTTTCAGCTTTTAAAGAATTCACATACTTTGGTAGATAGTGAAATATTGTCATGTAGTGTGTTTGGTTTCACATCTTGTTGCCATGTTCTAGCAACAATATATGAACTAGAACCTCTGAAATTAGATTTAATTTTTTTTAAAAAAAATCTCAGATTATAAACTACTAGGCTGCAATCCTGTACACATTATTACTACTACTACTACTACTACTACTACTACTACTACTACTACTACTACTATTATTATCCATTTATATCCCACCTATGCCAGGGCAAACTGGCTCAAGGAGGCGTACACAATTAAAATGCGATAAAACAATGAATATAATAAAATTCACATAAACAACAATTTACATAAAGTGCTGATACTACTGATAGCGGCGGTTACTATACATGGTCTGATGAAGAGAGGCAATATCCATCGATGAACCATAGGGCCATAGTATGTTCAGTTTCCAATGTCTCATTCATCAGTGGTGGCTCCTATTCCCATTTATGTGGGAGTAAGTCCCAGAGATCTGAATTGGGTTCATTTCTAAACAGACCTGCCTGGAAATGGGCTGTAAATATGATTAAATTGTTCCACAATATTCAAGTTCCACAAAACAGGGTATAAGGGC